CCACACCTTCATCCTGGTTCAATATGAACATAATCTTAGAATGAATATTAGCTAAATAATTCCAATACACAGTAGATGTTGACTTAAGTTTTCCAAGCAATATAAAACATATATGACAATCAGGAGTATTTCCCTCCCTCGTACATGTAGCATGATATGAATGCATGTTAGAGTTATGCTTATATTCTACTTGTTCACTTTAAAAAGCATCTATCTGTGCTTAAGTCCTGATTATATCTATTGTTGGCAATGATAAGAAAACAACACTGTAAAAGTAAGTAGCGTTAAATACAATTAGACAATTACATTATGAACATCAACCACTAAAGAGGCAAAGAAATCTGAAGACTGCTCTTGTAAGTAGGTACACATTAAATACTTTTGTGCTGTGCCTCAGACTATTGCAGTGCAAACCCTGCTCCTCTCTGTGCTTCACTTTCCTTTCTGCCTTCTATTTTCTGTTCTTCCACAAACATTAGCTGACAAACATTGGCCTACTGCCAAAAATATGAACCCCAAACCTGAGCAGTCCTATTTGAATAAATGTGTGCTGTTAGTGTTTGAACTCTGGGAGTAGTTACTCTCTAAATGTTACTCTCCACCCCATTGTCTACAGAATAAAATTCATAATCCTTAGGAGCCCAGGATGTTTTGTCCTTCTTTATCTGACCTCTTCCTCTTTTTCTGTTTCATCTCCATTTATTGCCTTCCTTGGCAACACATGTACTTATGACTATACCTATGACTTCTCTGAGCATCATATTTAACTGACAATACCTCCTGGACACCTTCAAGCTTCATGTACAAGATTTAACCCTCTAATTTCAGCTTGGTTTCTTATCTTGGTTTACAACGGAGCTAACTTTTCAATCACCAGGCATATTCTATTCATTTCCCTGATTTCTCACATTTCTCATATTTTAACAACACTTTTGTCTTCTCATTGCCTAAGATACCCAGTGCCATCTTTCTAGTTGACATCGTCATACTGTCTGTCTTAGACTACTGTAATACCATGTTACTGTAATAACCTCCTTTACTGGTTACTGGAGATATTGTCATAAAGTTACAAAATTCAAGAAATTTTACAATTCTTCCTTGTTTCAAATATCTAGTGTCTTCCCTCATTTCTAGTGAATTGTGTCACACTGCATGATTGAAATTCAAAGACATTGTGATCTGACTCCATCAAACCCCTTCAATGGTAACTTATATTCTATACCTTCTGTGTAACCTGAAGTACAGAACCTATCAAAATTGGTATTTTTCTCTTCAAACTCCTGTCTTTCCTTCAGCCAAAATACTTTATTCCCATTTTTTTAAATTTTTTTTAACGTTTATTTATTTTTGAGACAGAGAGAGACAGAGCATGAACAGGGGAGGAGCAGAGAGAGAGGGAGACACAGAGTTGGAAGCAGGCTCCAGGCTCTGAGCTGTCAGCACAGAGCCCGATGCGGGGCTCGAACTCACGGACCGTGAGATCATGACCTGAGCCAAAGTCGGACGCTTAACCGACCAAGCCACCCAGGCGCCCCTATTCCTATTTAATCTCTCTTAAAATTCTACTTATTCTTTTAAGGTCTAACTAAAATAGCAGCTCTTTAGTAACCAGATTCTCCTGTCCACACTCAGCTCCGGTGCCCCATTTCTCCAATTCAGGCATAAATAAATTCTACACATTTAACCACATATGCTACATTCATAGCTAAATTTTATTTATTTATTCAAATTTTTATATTTATTTATTTTTGAGAGAGAGAGAGAGCACAAGCAGGGGAGGGGCAAAGAGAGAGGGAGACACAGAATCTGAAGCAGGCTCCAGGCTCTGAACCATCAGCACAGAGCCCTATGCTGGTCTCGAACCCACAAACCGCAAGATCATAATTGAGCCAAAGTCCGACTTTTAACAGACTGAGCCACCCAGGAACCCCGATAGCTAAATTTTATAACAGAATTTATAAAGGGGGTTAAAACATGGGCACTACATATGATCAAATAGAAATAAATGTAGTCAGACAGATCTTAGTTTTAAATTATACCTTTGCCATTAACAAGCAATATTATTTTGAGAAAGTTACTCAATCTTTTGTTGTCTCCATTTCTTTAATCAAAATGTGAAGAGGAGAACTACCCCATGAAGCTTTTGTAGAGATTAAACAAGATAATGTCTGCAAAATGCACAGTGCCTGGACTAGGGGTGATACTAAGTATAAAAATAAAGGCTATTATTATGCCTGAAATAGAAAAAGGTAATCAATATTTATCAGGCAAATAAGTCTCCATGACATTTTGTAATATTTTTGTTAACAGATTTGCCAAGGATTTTAACTATACCAGCTGTTCAGATAGATTCTTTTTCTGAGATGTCTCATTACAGAGGACATTTTATTCCTCTTGTGTATGGAATATTGGTTTGAAGTGAATGATTTGTTTTTCCCAAATCAAGTAGTCCTGGAGTTTGCCTTACATGACCAAGCTATCATCATGGACTTGTATCTTGTCAGTTTCTCCCTGCAGCGTAAAACACTAATAACTGTTCAGGTTAGCATGAAATTATGGCCTTTGTGAAGACCCTGAATATCTCTGATGTTCATATAGAATTCCCCTACAATTGAGATCATGAGGACCCACCAAGGGCTAAGTAGATTTAATTGCATCCACAATGACTTGTGGATTGGGCCAGAGACTCACTGTCTTCCAGTTATTGTTTCAGTTATTAGACAATTACATTTCCTGGACAGATTTCCTTTATTGAATTGTGAATTGCTCCCTTGTTAAGATGATCCCCAGAATTTCTGGGTATAGATAATAGGCAGAAATCATTTTCCAATCATGTGGACTACTTGGAATTGAAGCTCACTATTGATTTTATCTCAAACCACAAAATTAGCATACCACTAAATACAGTATATAAGCCACCGCAGAAGCAGACAGACCATCATCCACTGAGCTTCCCCTTCACTTCCTGTCCTCCACCTTGGAAAAAGGTAAGAATTTCAGATATAAATTTGATATATCCTCTTTTCACCTTTATTTCAAAATAGGCTGAGATATATGAAGAAAATGATTGCTTAAAATTTAGTCTTTCAAATGAGCATATTTAAAGTAGTACTGGCACTATTTCCAACACTTAGGTTAAAAAAATAGAAATGTCTATAACGATTTGGTAAAAATTATGACTGCATAAGCTCTATGAGTCTAAAATAATGTAGTAATGACGATTACTATTTTTTTGGTCCAAAGCCAGTTCACAGGCTACATTAAAAAATCTATTTCTTGAATTAATAAATCTTCTAACCACAACAATAAAAGAAAATATATTTAAATTATTTTAGGGGGATCTGAATAATTAATGGGTAACCTTTATCCAACAGCAATTTTAGAGGTGGCACATTGAGTCAAGAAACTTCAGGAGTTGTTTCGGGATGTGCACTACTTGAGATGTTTATAAATCTTTTTTAGAAGTGGGTGTTCCTCAAACTTATGTAGAGTAGTCAACTTGCCCGTTGATCATTTAGTCTATAATAGTTCAAAATATTATTAAAATAGGCATATGAAATACAAAATTAAGTAAAGAAAGAAAATGTTTTATTTTGTAAGAAAATTCTAAATGGGACAGAGATGACTTGGAAACAAAAACAAAGAGAAGATTTGAATAAGATTGGTCAAAATGAAGTTCTGGCTAAAAAATTGGTATATAAAATGTTAATTATAAAATACAGAAAATGAAATGAGATCCTTCCTATACATAATGATCTCTAATGGAGTACCATATTCTTTTTTTTGAGTCCTGAAAATTAAAAAAAAATTATTTGGAAACTTATGGTGCTCTTAGCAAAGTAAAATTATGAAGATTTATATAGTACCCATGAGCAATATCTAGAAAAAAATATTTTTCCTGAATAAAGAGAATAATTTTCAGCCTTCAAATGTTGGAAAGGATATTTTGCAGATAAATTTGGGAATTTTTTCGTGAAATGTTTTTAGTTCAGAAGTTTAGTTTAAATAACTGAGATTGAAGATTGTATGTCAAGCTCTCTTAGTAGCACAAACATTGTTTTGTACAAGAAATTACAGAAATGCCACAAAACCAGGCATTTAGTACATTTTGGTTAAAAGTGTTAACATATATGTTGTACTATAAGAAGAGGTAGCCTGGAGTGGGGATTGGGCAAGAGGACCTAATACTTTGGTAAATCATCAAGAAATCAGGGAGAAAAAAGCATAGTGTATTGTCTCTAAAGTTGTGTGTCACAAAGGAGAGGAGGCATTATTGGATATGTAGGGATGAAGACTGAGTAGTGGGTATAAATCGAGAAGAAACAAACCAATCAGTGGAGCATCTGGATAAGTGGAGGAAATAAAGGAAATGCTCAAATGAAATCTCAGTCTTATTGGAAATGAGATATGATTAAAACAAATATTCATGGGAATGGTTTGGTTCACTGAAAAAAAGTAAAAACTAAAATATGATCTTTGCATATATTTTCTTTGATCAGTTTCCTCCCAATGGAACTGAGGATCTATCAGGGTTGAGATCTTAATATTTTGATCACTGATACAATCCCAGCACCTAGACAGTATCTGGCAATAAAAGGTGTTAAATAAATATCTTTGAACAAATGAATCAATTAATAAATGTTTCTGTAATTACTTATAACTTTTTTCTAGTACTTATAACTTTTTTCTGTCTTTCAAAAACACAAGAAAACCATAGTACTGTGAATGAGATGAAAATGAGTGAGGAAGGGTGGAGGTGATACCTGAGAAAATCTGAACAGTTAGCCATGAAGTATAAAAATAATATGTAAGAGTAAGGAGCCATGGGAGATTTTGACCTTGATAAAGTTTTTATTAGTATTTTTCCCCCAAATGCAGAGATTTTTATTACATATTATCTTTAGTTTCATTAACAGGAAAGTAACCCTAGCTAAATAAGAAAATAGATTGACCAATCTATTACCATTCCTTCATTTCCCCATTGACAGGACTTGATAGCCATGAAGGTCCTCATCCTCGCCTGCCTGGTGGCTCTTGCTCTTGCAAGAGAGGTAAGAAAGTGTCTAAATAATTAAGATTGCAATGGACTATCTGCCTATGTGTAGAGAATAACATCAACATTTTTAAAATACGAATAAAGCAGAACTCCAACAGATTTGTTTTGACATTCACCCAGTATTTCAGCAGTGTGCAGTAGGGGCACAAATCTGGGCCAAATGCTTTCTTTATCACTGTGCCACCGCTTCCTTAGGGAAAAGCAAGTTGACTTATTAGCAAAGAGACAAAATGAAAAGAACCAGATATAAAAATGACAATAATAATATTGCACAAGTATGATGGCGTGCATGTACAACCTAGATAAATATATCTTATTCCAGTGATAAAATACGTGTAGCTCTTATCTTAGGGCACTGGGTCCGCTTCTACCTGTATCTATCCAAAGACAATGATAGGATGGACTATCAGGCAATAATCATAATCGTAAATGTATTTGTAATCATAATAAAGTGTTTAAAACAAATGAAAATAACTTTTTTCTGTTGCCCATCAAAAACTGTTGATTCATGTAAAATAAAAATATGTTAACAAAGTTACTAAACATAAAAGACAAAAACAATGGCCTTCTAAGTCTCTCAATATAGCATTTTTTATTTCTCAAATTTGTGAAATAGCTGCATAAAGAAGATAAAAATTAGATAGGAAAAATGTTTAGCGATGAGTTACATATGGAAACCAAAGTAGTGTTTTATTTTTCCTTTACAGAAGGAAGAACTCACTGTATCCACTGAGGTAAGATATTTTTTTTCAGAAAAAAAATTTCCAACCATAAATTATTAACATTCTGCAATAGTTATCGATTGTTTTATTTTTTGTTTTTCCTTTACAGACTGTGGAAAGTCTTTCAAGCAGTGAGGTAAGACAATGTTTTCAGAGGCAATTTCCCAGTCTTGGAACAGTAAAATGCTGTTATCTTTCTATTTTGCTACATTAGGACAGTTAGGTTAATAATGCAGCTATGTTCTGACATAAGTTTTGAAGTAAATTTCCGTTGTAAATGTTTATGGACAGAATAAATATCTGGAAAATTCAGTACCTACTAGCACTTTCTAAGTTGGCTGAGTACTTGAAATTATGTCATTGTGACCCCCTCTTTTTTTTTTCAATGAACTGTACAGGTTTTTTTTCTGTCTTGAGCTCTTTTTACACTGACCTGATTCACTGTTCTGATATTTATTGAGCGCCTTATTCACTGTTCTGATATTTATTGATATTTATTGACTAGGAGCTGTGGTCCAAATTGAAAACAGGGATGTCCATAAAAAAGAGCTTGCAACATAGTGTGTGAGCAGACATGCAAATGGACATATTTTGTAATGTAGTAGTCACTATATTAAGTAAAAGGCAGTGAGAGGTAGTGTAGTCCTAAATCTGCGTGGAGAGTCAGGTAGGTATTTACCCTGATATGTCATTACCTATTAGTTAAATAGTATATGTGGTCTCTCTACAAGGTTAACGGACCCTTAAGGGGGGATATTTATTTCTTATGATTAATTTGAAGTGTAAACATAATAAGTAAATGAAGAATGATTAAAACAATTAAAAGATGAAATTCATATTATCAATGAATATGATTCTTTTAGACTCAGAGTGACAGAGATCATTTGTTGTCCTAGGAAGGGAGTGTGGTGATAGAGAGAAATTAGCATCTATTAAATACCTCTTTTTGCACTATGTTCACTAATTTTCTTTTCTTATTTAACTGCATTCATCCGTCTTTTATACAACAAGCTTATGCAGAACAGCAAAACATACAAGTTTCAGCAATTATCCTGAGTTTTTACTATTATCAAACAAGGTGTACATGTTAACCTATTACATGTTGTCATTTTCTGATTTGTATTGACAAATAAGAAGCATTCATGAAACTAAACCTAATTTTATTTTTATCTTTCTGAAGGAATCTATTACACACATCAACAAGGTAACACCTTCATATTTAAGTGTACTTATTTTCAAAATTTCCTACATTTAATTTTTATAGGTGGTAACATTTCTTTACATGTGATTTGGTTTCTAGCAGAAACTTGAGAATCTTAAACGTGAGGAGCAGCAGCAGAGACAGGTAATTTATTTGTGATAAGTATATTTCTAAAGTTATTATGGAATCTAATACACACAAAATATGTATGTGTTCACTCTAAAGACTGATAATAAAATAAATGCCAATGAGGAAATTAAATTCCGACAGTCAATATATTTTTAAGACATAAATGCATTTTTTCAAACTCAGAGTTAATATGCAGAGTATAGAATCAAAACCTAAGGGTAATTATTGATTTACTCATATTTCCAAGTGGGGAACTAGGTTCCCCTTAGTCTCAAGATGGATATTCGGATGAATGAGAACAAGAAGGCAATATGACACATTTATTAGTTGTATACCCTTGGCCTCAAGTTTCTCTGTACTTAATTTTCTTATTTGTAAACCAAGAACATTCATAACCCCACAGTTTTGATGAGCTGACACACAGTGAATATTCAGTGATTTTATATAATATTTTGTATGTTTTATATTAACATTTATGAATGGCGAAGTTCTTCAAAGAATTCCCATTACACAGATGAAAGGAGTGAGGTACAGAACAATTGAGTACACAATTATCTGACAATATCACACAGTTATTAAGTAGTAGAATTAAAATTAAAGATTTTCTTAGACAACATAAAATTCTTCATTTAATTAAATTACATATGGTAACATATTTGGTAACATATTTATCTAATAATAATATTTCATCTTCTCTATTTTATCAGTGAAGTTGTATTGTTTGGAACTTACACCAAATATTTTTAAATCAGAATGAATTCACAAATTGATGCCTCTTGAAAGTCTCAAAATAACTACCTTCTACCAAGGGAAGTAGTGCTAGAAGGTGACTAGTGTAAGAAACTCCTTGAATTAAGCCATAAATTAAGATTTCATTTTCATTAAAACAACAGCAAATAAACATTGGAGTTATCCCTCTAAGTCTTTTTAAATAGATCTTTCATATGTGAAAACAATTTGCTGTATTTTGAACACATTATGTTGAAAAGTCCATACTTATGAAGACCAAAGTGGATAGCTATCTAGGCAATTCAGAAAAAGGTGAAACAGGTCTTGAAATCTCCAAAACTTGATTTCAGTTTGATCTGTGGATTCACCTATGAAAGGGAGTAAATGAGAAATACCTCAATGAGTGTTTTACTCAGTAGTCTTCACCTGACTGAAAATAATTTATTAACCAAGATCAGTAAAAGATTTTCTTTCTCTTTTCACTCAGTTATGAGTGTTCAAAAGATAGGAGGTTAATGCATCATAAATGACAGTTATAGCTGAATCATGGACTCAAACAAAGATTTTTTTCCTTCTTTCCAGGAGGAACGCCAGAATAAAATCCACCCTGTTTTCCAGCCACAGCCTCTAGTCTATCCTTATGCTGAGCCCATTCCTTACCCTGTTCTTCCACAGAACATCCTTCCCCTTGCTCAGCCTGCTATGGTGCTGCCTTTCCTTCAGCCTGAAATAATGGAAATCCCCAAAGTTAAGGAGACTATCTTTCCCAGGCGCAAAGTGATGCCCATTGTGAAATCTCCAGTAGTGCCCTCTTTGGACAGCCAAATCGTGAATCTCACTGATCTTGAAAGTCTGCACTTGCCTCTGCCTCTGCCTCTGTCTCTACTCCAGCCCCTGATGCACCAGATCCCCCAGCCTCTTCCTCAGACTACCATGCTTCCTCCTCAGCCACTGCTGTCCATCCCACAGCCAAAAGTCATGCCTTTTCCCCAGCAAATTGTGCCCTACCTCCAGAGAGACATGCCCTTGCAAACCCTACTGCTGTACCAGGATGCCACCCGTGAGGCCCAACCTGTGACTGCCCCAGTTTACAATCCCGTTATTGTAAGTCCAAACTTAATAATTCTGCTGTCTCACTTATGACCTGAATATAGTGATAGAGGAAATGAGAGCTCTACAATGAAAGAATAAATGAATAATGAATAGATCTAAACTGCACATTGTTTAGATCAATGATTCTCAACCCTAGCAACACAATAGTACTATCTGTAGGACTGTTTCTTTCCAAAATCCCAATGTCTAGGCCTACCCACAGAGATTCTGATATAATTGTTCTGATCTTCGATGTAGAAGATACCATCGGGACCAAATTATTTTGGAGATTCTGATTTAATCGATCTGTTGAGAATTTAGGTAGAGGATTAAGGTTTATTAAAGCTGGAATTAAATCTGATAATCTGATTGGGCTTGGAATAAAAAAGGTTTATTATTTTCTACAATTTTGAAGTTTTCCTTGTGCACATCTATTCTGCAGGTGCAGAATTTTTTCACATCTTGTTTTGATATATGTACATATGAGGGTAAATAATTGAGATGCTTATTTTATCTCTCCGAATTTTTAGGAAAAGCATCTGTTTCTTTGCATAAATGTGAATTTTTTATTTAATTATTTTGCTTTCTTTAATTTTTTTTTTTATTTTTAAGGTCTAAGAGAATTTCAAAGTTAATGTCCCCTCCTTACTTTTGGTAAGTTTTGGGAGTTTGCAGATTAGACTGATTATTTTCATTAATATCTTTTTATATTTCATTCTACTGTCTAAGTCCAAGATAGTGACAAACTTTATCAATATGCCTACTTATTTATTAATGATAAAAGCATCATGGATGTCTCAACGGTTGATCATTATCTACTGACCTGAAATTTTGTATCTTTTTTATTTCAAAGAATTTAAAAGTTTCATTATGTGCTATAGACAGATTTGACTGGTTTGTGTTCAAGTGCCTATATTCTGATGTTTGGTTATCAGCATTTTTATAAAAACTGAAAATAATTTCTTCTACTTTTATGTGAATATATTTGAGATTTTTTTAAAGATCTCTTTCATTCTCATTTCTAACTTAGGCGTTGTAACTTCAATTGTTTTTATCTCACTTAAAATTTACATATCATCCTTTAATTCATGAATCAAAATAAAATGAATTTTTCCAGGTGTGAGGTTTAAAAAAGGGAGAGAATATAGTTCTGGGATTCTTAAAATATGAATATTTCTGCAATCATGGTAGACTAGTCTAGTCTAGTCTAAGTATCAGTGGGCTGATATTTAATCATATCGGAATTTTTATATGCCTCCTCGGTAGGCCTCAATATTTTGCACTTGTAACAAAATTTGTCTTACAAATTAATCACACCAAAATTCAAATGAGGAGGGATGAATAGTTATGTCATATAACATAACTAGTTCTATATTTGCTTTATATTCTACAGAATTGACTGCAACTGGAAATGTGACATCCTTTCAATCTTTACATCATTACCAAAAGTGAATAATTTTGAATCTACATGGAAAAAATGAAAATTTATTCTTTTATTTATTTATGTATTATATGTTATTCATCTTAATTTGAATTTGCTCATAAACTCTACATTTTCCAAATTTTAATTCACTAATACCATAGAAGTTTAATTTTGAGTTGGAAATACCATAAGTATGTGAAAAATATGTGTAAAAATAGTTTCTGGAATTGTGCTTGTTATTTGAGACTCTATTTCCTAACCAGTCATTTCAATAAATTAATCCTTTAGGCATATTTAAGTTTTCCTGTCTTTATTATAATTTTTCAAGCCTTAATTGCCCTTAAGATTGTTATTAATTTAAGATTTTGGTGTTAAGAGGCAAGTGGGTGGCTCAGTTGGTTAAGTGTCAGACTTGATTTCAGCTCAGGTCATAATCTCATGGTTTGTGAAATTGAGCCCCCTGTCAGGCTCTGCCTTGACAGTGGAGTCGAATTGGGATTCTCTCTCTCTCTCTCTCTCTCTCTCTCTCTCTGCTCCTTTCCTGCTCATGAGCGCACATGCCCTCTCTCTCTTTCTCTCAAAACCAAATAAAACACAACAAAACAAGGATTATTGGTGTTAAAAATAGCCATGGGAAAATTGAAATTAAATAGAATGCTTTGAGTTGAATGGTAAAGAATATCAAAAAGTGGAGGAAAGGATAGGGTGATCATACCCTATTTTGGTTCTGGAAAGTCTTGGTTTACACCTAGTGTCCCAGTTAAACTAGTACACCTGTGACTTTCACTATCTAAAGTAACCAACATCGAATGTTAAATTTTATAGTCACTCTAAGCAAAAAAACACTTCAAATGAGAAAGCTGATTCACAGCTCTGCTGTTAATGGTAGCTAAGTGGGGCTGTGAAAGTTAGTCCTTCAGAGCTTCAATTTCCACATCTGTAAAATAGGCAACTCAAAGGTTTTTAATGAAGTTTAATCTGATCAGTGTACTGCACTGTTACAGGATAATTGTTCTGTATGGTTCCACATTACTGACTTCATTTACACCAGAGAAGCAAGAGCCAGTATCACAGTCAGAATGAGCTGGGTTACATGGTTTGGGTCAGTAATGCCCAAGAAAGTAAGACTTATATGAAGGTCTGATATCCACTTTCTCTGATTGCAGAGTAATTGTTTCATTGCAATGAATTTTTCCTTTACCAACAACTACACTTGTATGCTCAATTCCATCCCCTTTAGTTTACCCAGTGACTCATTAGCAATTGTTTTCCTTACCTAAGGATCAAATATAAGTCAAACTTATGCTATATCTTTCATTTTTAAAGAAAATTCCATCTTGTAACAATATACCTCCAAACTCCTCCCAGTTCTTTAGACTACTCTGTGACAAGTATGATAGAAGAACTATCCATACTGAATATGTTATGGTCTCATTAACCTGCCCCCGTCAAGGTTTTGTCCCTCTAGAAATCACTTTTTTCCTAGGTTGCCAACAGCTTTCTTCTTGCTACTCTTGTGTTCATTTTACCCAACCTCGCAGAGCTGTTTAGTAGAGTTGATCATTGCTTTTTTTTTTTTAAGTATCATACTTCTCTTCATTTTAAATCTTAAACTCATCAAACCCTTGCTTTCTTTCTTAACTCACTAGCCTTTATTTATGTATTTATTTATTTTTTTTTGCAGTCTCCTTTCCAGCATTTCTTTTTCCAAACTTTAAGGGTCGGAGTACCCTAAGGGTTAGCCTTAGTCTGGCTGATAGTGTTTAGTTCCATGGCTTTAAGTCCATCCATAGGTTGAAATCTTCTAAATGTACATCTTCAAAAGCATTCTTTGCTGAGCTCCAAATTCATGCACTCAACTTGCCTTTTTGGTCTCCACACCTAATTTTATAATTAATATCTCAAATCTGGCATGGACAAGCATAACTCTTCATCTGGATCCAGTCTCTGACTTGCTCAAATTTCACTGGGCATATTTCAGTAAGAGAAAAAAAGTGATACACTAGTACAAAGGAAACAAACTTACTTGAATAAACACTTCACCAAAAGAAGGTTTCTTAATAGCCAATAAACATATTAATAGGTACTCAAAATCACCAGTTCTCAGGAAAATACAAATTAAAAGCTACCATGCAATATCACGATACAGCCACCAGAATGATTAAAATGAAAAAAGAAATTTGCCATATCTAGTGTTGGCAAAAAACAAACTATAGGAATGCTAAGCAATGTTGATGTAAATGTAAACTGGCATGAGCATCTTGGAAACCTGTGTCAGTCTTTGTCAAAGATAAACATCGTTATATCTTATGACTAGAGATTTTATTCTTAAGTATATACCCAACAGAAATACATATATATGTGTATATATATATATATATATACACACACACACATATATATGTGTGTGTGTGTATTTACACTAAAAATGCATATATATACATATGCACTAAAAATATGTACCCAATGTTCCTAGCACCTTGTTCTTAATATCCAAAATTCAAATCAACACTAATGGGAATCAACACTATTTTGTATAAATTGTGATATACAAAGAACGGAACATTGCAATTAACAGGAATGAACTACTACTACATGGCACAACATGAATGAATTTTATATAAGGAAGACTGGATGATAGTAGACAGACACCCCATAAATATTATATATTAGAATCTATAAAATATTGATTTCTAGTGCAACAAGTTAGGATAGTAGTTATCTGAGGGGAGGCAGAACTTGATAGGGAACATTAAGTGCTCTCAGATGCTTAGTGATATTCTTTTCCTTAACCTGGATGATGAGTTCTTTGTGATAATACATTTCGATGTGTGTGCTTTTCTATATGGCTGTTTGTTGCTTTAAAAATTTAAATGTATAGGGGCGCCTGGGTGGCGCAGTCGGTTAAGCGTCCGACTTCAGCCAGGTCACGATCTCGCGGTCCATGAGTTCGAGCCCCGCGTCAGGCTCTGGGCTGATGGCTCAGAGCCTGAAGCCTGTTTCCGATTCTGTGTCTCCCTCTCTCTCTGCCCCTTCCCCGTTCATGCTCTGTCTCTCTCTGTCCCAAAAATAAATAAACGTTGAAAAAAAATTTTTTTAAAAAATAAAAATTTAAATGTATATTAAATGTAAAATCATGTATTTCTTTATTAGTGTCTTGCCTACCTTCTTTTTCCCTAAAAGTGGGGGTTTCTCTGGTGCAGAATCACCTCTTTGCCTCTGGACTTAAATACCATTCCATTCTATGGCAATAGACCTGGTTTCCTCCGAAGCTATGGAGTGGCTGCATAATGATACTGTAAAATGTGTTTTAGACCCTACTATGGTGAAATTTGAAAAATGGAATGCAGGAGATGGGAGAGAACTTGCAGATTAATTCCTGCTTTTTTTTCCTCTGTATATTATTCAGTGGTGTGGTTCTTTGCAGCCTCTGTTAATTACATAATAATCATGTGAAGTTTTTTGTTGCTGAAAGGATTTAGAGGACTCAAACAGTTTCCACTGTAATAAAAACAGATTAATATTACAGGGAAAAACAGAAGACAGCAACACAGGGAAAGGATGTGCAGTGAAAAAGTGCTAAGATCTGGGGAGCAACTTATTTGTCCTTCCACTGCTTGATACAGGATATGATTTATCTCCAGATCTTAAACCACTAATGGAGGCTGTGCAAAGCATCTCAGTACCAGGAAGCTCAAAACCACTTGTCATGAGGGTCTTTTACAAAAAACTTGTCCTGCAGGCACATTTTGGCTACATGACTAGTCATACCTGTTGAAAACCAGCCCCATTTCACTCCCCAACTCCTAGATTCCACTGAAACCTGGTGTAAACCATATGCAATTATTATTAAACAATCCTGACAGGCTGATGTATCCTGCCCAAAGCAACTCACAGACATATCTCTATAGTATCATTTGCCTTTCGTTATTAAATACCATAGTGTTGGCCAACAGCCAGTGACTCTAGAGATAAGCATACAGTCATCCAGACCAACTGGGATTAATCAGTGTTATACACAGTATTTCCGGAGAAAACTTTTGTGCTGATGAAGCATACCTGCTGAATAGCCTTCAACTTGTAGTGAAGTGGTGCTTGAATTGCTTTGCATCTTTATTCACCTCCATTTACTTAAGGTGCATATATTTACATAATTTATAATTGCTTCCAAGCAAACTCTTCTTATAAAAAAAGG